CTTCCGATCTAAAGAGGAGGAGGAGGAGGAGGAGGAGGAGGAGGAGATGGTGAAGAGAGAGGCCCCGAACTCCCAGCCCCGAGGCTGGCCCCTACCTGGCGCCGCTCCAGTCCTTCATCGCCGGCGCTGCCTCGAAGCCCCTCGCCCTAAGAAGCCAAGGGGCGGGAGGCTGAGGCGCTCTGCACATGCTCAGACACCCTGCGCGCGGCCCGCCTTGCCTTGCCTTCCCTTCCCGTGCGGGTGAACGTCATCTTCCCCAAAAGCGAAGGAAAGCAATCGAGGGAAAGACGTGCGGTGGCAAAGGGCTGGCATGACACAGGAGCTGCCTCCGACTAGGTAGGTTCGCACGTGCTGGAGACCCAGGGGCTGCATTTACAGAAGGGGTTCCGCCCGGCTCGTTTAGCCTGGGCGGGGTGTCTGTCGTACGGCGGAACCTCTTTGCTTAGGTTACGGTTCAGGGTATTGTGCCAACCCCAAGAATGGGCAAATTCAGTAACTAGGTTCGCCGAGATGGCAAAGACAGCCCCTGAGTCCGACCCTTCCCCTCCTGGTTGGGTAGAAAACACCGGGGCTTCCCCATGTTGGGAGATAATAGGTCCCCTTCTTTGGGGAACATCAGTAAACCTACCACAACCCTGGAAAGCTTTGGACAATGGCTTGTTGAACAAGCCACGTGGCCTGGTTTGCACGTAAGGCTAAATGAACACTGGCAGGTTTCTCAAGTCTCTGCTTGTTCCTTAATCCAAATGCCAGAGCGGTGGCCGTCTAAACGTTTTGACTCCCTTCCAATATCTTTTGACTTAATGTGGACTGTCCTAAATAATGCGGCCACCTCTGCCTGGTGACTTCTCAGCCTGAATTCAGTTTCACAGCAAGTGGAACTGCTGGAAATGAGATAGTCAGCGTCTGTTTTATTCTGCCTTATGCTTAGCTCAAAAGTTGCGCAAAAAGGGGGTGATGATTATGAATGCCTGTCACGATCGTGATCCAAGTTTAAAAGACTCCCCTTTCCAGCCTTCCAGGAAGAGCAGCGTGGACATGCCACAGCAAGCGAGAATGCGGAAACAAATCCCTTGTTATCAACAAGAGTGGATTAGTTATTTCTGAAGAAAACGAGCCTAGAAACCAAACACACAAAAGGATTAGCACACGGAGACTGTGACCTTGTGGGTTTCCTTCGTTTCCTGATGTATGTCACCTCTCCACAGGGAACCGAAATGCATCTCTGAAGCAAATCTTTAACCTTGAAGAGCTTTGCCAGTAGAGAGCATGGAGTGCGAGTTTTATCTCAAAACTTTATCTGCAGAGTCCTTGGATAAATAGGCACATCCAAGCTCTCAAACAGGTGTTTGCGGAAGCAACGCCTTTGATCTTGGAGGAGTTTGAAGGAAGGTCTTGAGTAGATGGTCTACCCAATGTTCTGAGGTCTCCCCTGATAATCACCCTCCCCTTTTTTGCCTTGAAGGGGGGGAATCTCAGGCACTGTTTAATACTTGCTAGGTGAATTGGTAGAATTCTCGTTCATGAGGCCAGGGGTGGGAAATCTGTCACCCTCCAGATTTTGCAGAATATTTTACAGTGGTATAGCCAGTGAGGGATGCTGAGAGCTATAATTTAGCAACATCCTGAGGACCTCAGATGTCCCTTCTTTCTTTCAAGCTCTTCCTCTGGTCCTCTAGAAAGTAACGTGGGAATGCCTGTTACATACATGGGTAAAATACACAAACACACACAAGCTTCCACAGTGACATCATGGTTCAGGGTTGGTTTAGAAACACACAGGCTCAAGTCCACTTCAAGTATGGAAGCTCACTGAGGGACCTTCCAAGGCTGTTGCTGTGAATTAAAATTAGAGGAGGGGGGGCTAAGCTCCAAGATGGAAAGATGGAATCTAAAGTTAACTAATAATAATTTATGTTCCACATAAGCCTGGGTTGAACAGCTGGCTTTCCAAGGCTGCCTTCCTGTCCACCTTCTGGTTTTGACGGGCTGTTCTGTTTTGCTTCCTGTCTTAATTGTTGAGCTTGACTCCTGCTTTTTCATCTCTGCTGGACTTGCTTTTCAGACCAGTCTCCGAAAAGACCTTTCTCCTTATATATCTAAACGTCCGTGAAAATTGATATCCCTGCTTTGCAAAACGCATGCAAAAAGCAGGACCTTCACTGTAAAGGTCCCCCAGGTGTGGCCTGAGTAAGATCTGGTCCTTCTAAAAGGCAAAGAAACACTTGGGTTAATAATAGAGTCCCATTCATGGTCACTGAAAGCAGCTGCGTTACTCCAGCTGGATTTCTGGGGTGTACCCACCTCACATATTTTGGCCCAGTATGCCAAGCCAGTAGCTGGCTGTGACCTGTGATTGCCTTCCTGACATGATTGATTGGCTGATTATGTGACATCAAGTCATTTTTGACTCCTAGCGACCACATAGATAGATTTTCTCCGTGATGATCTGTCCCTAACCTGTTCTTTCAAGCGTCCCAATGGCACACTCAGGTCACCTGTCATGAGAATTGATGCAATTCTCTGCAAAGACGTGGGAGGGCAGCAGCCACATACAGAGACACGCAGGAGTCTTCAGATAGCTCTTGAAAGAGTGCCACTATGTACGTACTGCTTTTTATTTGGATAGAGCAAAACGGACATAGAGCGTTGCCAGTTAACCAAATGATCCATAGTGTTAGCAACTGACCAGATGAAGCTCAGCTGAAGACCGTGAGATAGAAACCTTTCCATTCTTTGCCATTTCCTAGGTTGCCCAGATGTTTGCAGATCTGGCAGCTCTCTTTAATAGCAACTCGGGAGAAATCAGAAAAAGCCTTTCACGTCCAAAGATATACCAGATCCTTCACTCATTTCTGCCTAGCAACTTGTTGCTTGGGGCAAAGCAGCAGGAGCAAGTTTAACCATTGGCAACCCCACGCAGGTGTTCACCTTCTCCACCTAGAGGGTTTGTCCCGATTCTCTGCAGGAGGCAATTCAAACAAACTTCTTTTCATGAGCTCAAGCATTTTACCCAAGATTAAATGGGCACGATTTTTCTTGCGGGGCGCTTGCATGAGATTGATCTATCGGGGCTTGATGGTCCCATAGTGCCCGAGTTGGATGGGCTTGGAAGAGTGGGGGAGTAACTCCAAAACCAAAAATCATTGGAATCACTGACTTTCATCTCTCATTTCTGGCACTCTCTTTTTCCCTGTTCCTTCTTTTTTAAAAATGAGGATTGAAAAGATCATTCTAAAATGTCTTTTCACACAGATTAATAGTGGAGACTTCGCCATGTCTCCTCCAAAGCAAATTTCTGTATCCTATGAACTTATTTCCAAAATAAATTTGCAGAGGTTCAGAGTTTAAAAAATACAGGGCTTCCCCAAACCTTTTGAGCGGGGGGTACTTTCGTATTTCTCCTATTTTTAACGCCACATTCCTAAATGCAGCTCTACGTCTTTGGGGGTGGGAGATTCAGTTATTGATCCTACAGAGCAGGGCCTTCTTGGTGGCCCCAGTTTGGTGGAATGATTTCCCAGGGTCCTCCTAGACTGCTTTTGAAATGTATCTGTTTTCTAAAGCCTCCATTTAGAGACAGGGAGAAGCAGAACCAGGGTGCAAACCTATTCTGCTTCGAATACGAAAGTTTGCAGAATGTAATCTGGGTGGTCTCATTGTGCAAAATGCATCTTTTAAACTAAGCACTTAAGCAGTTGTGTAAAAGTGTGGAAGGCATTTTAAGCAGATACACAGGGCAGTACTTTCCTTTCTTGCTTCAGCAACGGCTGTAAACACCTTCAGGCAGCCAGTGTTTCATTTGCTTTGCTTTACTAGTGCTCTCATTAAAGTACTCATCATTCTAATACAACATAAATTCTAATTCCAAAACAGCACACAAAGTTTTTCCCATATCAGGAAAAGCAAACAGCTAAAGATTAACAAGGGGAAACCTGAAAAGCGGCAAAGAGAGAATGTAGACATCTTTGGCAAGTGACGGGCTCTGCAAACTGATGTCAGTCTCAAAGACATGTCAGTTCCTGCCTTCCTTTTGTAATATGGGAAAAAACAAAGAGGGTGTTTGTTATTGTGGTCACATGTGAACTGGCACGGGACAGCGAGGCTGGCCCTGCCATTAGGCAAAATTTATGGGACACCTCAGGCACCAGACACTGGAGCAGGAAGGCGTCCACTTTTTACAGGGTCTCTCTCACCCCCAAAAGTATTCATCTCTTTGCTCGAGTGCATATGTACAACTCTTGCCCCCATTTCTCATTTACCTGCCTTCTCCCAGAAAAATCACTTTTTGCAGAGAAACGAACCTGTAATGTGAAGCCAGGACTCCCAAAAAATGATTCATGCTCTTGGCTAGATGATTTCTTTATTCTCCATGCTAACTGCTTCCAAATAAAATGTAAAGGCTTTCATTATGACCTTCTGGATTTTCCCAGACAAAGAGGGTGTGTTGATGACTCTTTCTAGCAGCCAGGTGTATTTCTCCTTCTATCCCATGATGAAACCTATCAGCTATTCAAGCATTACTTCATGATGAAAAGAGACTATTCCAAGAAAGACAGCTCTCTATACATGCAGAGAGTCAGGTGCACATAATAACAGTGTGATATCCCAGAATATAGTTGCTCAATTTGACCTTAGTTGTCAACCCAGGAAAGTCACCATAAAGCAGGATTAACCAAACCTTGTCTTAATACAATAGATAAAACCAAACAAGGGCTGCTTATTGTTGAACAGAATTCTTCCTGTTGGATTCATTTCACTGCCCAACAGCTGAAATGCCAAGAAGTTGGAAACTCTTTGAGTTAAAGATAGGCTGGAGAGGAAGGGAAACCCCAGATCGCTGATATCATATAAGTCGTTTAAAATAGATCACGACAGCTGTGGGGCCTAACTGGATTCTCGTTTTGTTTTTTAAACTGGGGATGCTTGTAGGGGGGGACTGTCTGCTTGGGATTCCCCTGGCTTGTTTGTCTGCTCCCTCTCATACTTCCTCTCCCTTGTTAAAATAAAGTGAATAAAGAAGTTTGTGGGAAGACACACAACGAAATTAGCAGGACAGTAGTGCTAGCTGGGCCCTGAAGAGGAGAACTGAAACTGATCATCCTCTGGTCAACCACCCCTCCTGCTTTATAATGAGGTGGGAATGACTGAAACTGACCGGTATGGGGAAACTGGTAAATAATCAAAGCTCAGAAGAGCTCCTCACATTCCAGATGCCACAAGGAGGAACGGTTGGACTGTTGCCTTTCCAAATATTGTGAAAGCAGGAATTACCCCCATAGTGGCATTTTGTCCTGCTGTCCTTGCTGGGAACCATGAGAAGCTAGATTCAGAAGTAATGGGGAGGGTGGGCTAGTCTGAAAGGAAACTAAATTAGAGAGAAAGAACCATGGTGGGGCTGGTTAATAACAAGAGGGACGTGACTGCAGGCACTCTTCTCAGCCCTCCCAAAACACAGGTCTGGTCACCTCCACAGCAGGTCCCTGACCTCACCCCCAGGATGATGGAGGGCAATGCGTTATAGCAAAAGCTTCAAGGTGTGATTTTACACACCCTGAAGCCGTGGTGGGATGGTGCCCACTTAAGGGGGAAAGGCGACTCCAAAACCCAGGAGCTAATGACAGATTAAGACTTTCTTGGGCTGGGGATGAGATGAAGAGAAGGCGGTGCAACTAAGTGGAAGGAGGGTGCAATCCATGGCAAAGGCAGGGAAGTTCTTGGCCGTGAAAAGCACTCCCAGCTTTTATGGCACAATAAAAAGAATGGGAGGGGAGAGGCTATCTGTCACCCAGATGTGGTTCATCACACCCACTGAAGGAGGTTACTCCCAGGTTTAAGGAAAACCATTCCTACATCCACATCAGTTGTTCCAGGAAGTGGAAATAGAAAATTTCAAGGTTGTGGTTTAGGTATTTTTCCCCCTTCTTCTTCTTCTGATAAGAAGACATTGTGTTCTTACAATCAATGATGCCACCGTGGAAAGGCTTTGGGGCAGATCAAGCACATTCAGCCACCCAGGCGGAAGAGCCAAGCCTTCAAGACTGCAAGCCAGGCTCTGTGCGCTGTAAAATATGGGGTCCTCCTCAAAGAGATGTCCCCTTGCCCCCCACCCCCCAGTTCTTTCTCCCAAGTCTTAACTCAGCCGCTTTGCAATAGCTCAAGGACTTCACCGTCCACTGCTGGGTTGGAGATCTGGGGGAAGCCAGCTATCCTGATTTCATCCCCACCCCAGGATGAAGCAAATGGTGGTTGCTTCCAGACCCTCTTTCTGCACCAGGGGAAAGGCTTAGCAGATCCCTGGGGAAGATAAGTGAAGGCAAGGAATAGCTTATTTCCCGAGCCCCACAAAAGTTCAGAAATGGAAAGCGGGTCTTCGTTTCGTCACATCTGCCTTCTGAGTTCTACCCGGTGGGGCCAGAACTGGGCACAGAGCATCATAATCTGAGCTGGAGGGGGGGAGCATTTATCTAAAAGCAAACACGAGGAAGGAAAATGTGTGTAAAATCCAGAGCTAGCTAAAAAACGGGGCAGATCAATTCTCATTGACAAGACTTGACCGCGCCACGGCGTTTCAGCCAGCAGATTCGTCCGTTCGGCTAAGCCACGGCTGAACCACGATTTCCAGCGCAGCGGCTAGCCAGGGTTCCTTGCCTGGGGCCATAAACCCCATCAGCCCCAGCCAGCTGGCGAACCCTGCCTAGAGCCCTCCGGCGCGGTCGGAACCCAGCGCTCGGCTGTGGACGATGGGAACGGTAGTGCACGGCGAGCCCCGTCGGATGGGGAGGGCTCCCCGCCGAGCGCCGCCGGGGCAGCGGGCGGGGC